ATTTAAAATTTAAAATGATGTCAGTGCTGTGAAATATACAGATATGTACTACGACAATTCTAAAACTGATGTCGCGCAAACAATCTTGTTTTATTCTAAGCACAGGCTTGTTTACCTAAACTGATCTGCGGAGTTATTAATGGGCAACTTGGCTGAACATAAAAATGCTGCAGTGCCAGTACAAATAAGGTCAGACTAGTTTTTCAATGAGTTTGCCGAGCATGCCTGTGCCTGCCTGGTAGTGTGATGTAGTAAAAGGGTGGCAGCAATTACAAACCATTAAAATTATTAAAAATTGGGACAAATAACGGCGTTACAATCATTTCCAATTCGTCTGCTCTCAGCCAAAAGCAACTGCTCATAAATGTGCGAACACTTTCAATTTTGCTGTATCAGAAAATTGATACAGCAGACTAAGCCATAACACAGGCACATATTCCCTTTTAATTAATATGAGGACTTATTTGAACATTCTGATTCCCATTGGAAGATGAAACAATGATACTAGAAGAACAATTTAATCCTGTGGGCCCCCGATATTAATCATCCCAAGGACAAGTTCCAGATTAATGGCAGCTAAACTCACTGAGTGATAAATGTTTTTACGGTGCAGATTTATTTTTACATTCATTTTTAGGATGCTTAAAGTTTGATGCTGCTACATTTTTAATGTGTCACATTGAGAAGAGTTTCTAATCTTTAGTCTCAATTGAACTAATAACAGTGGACTAAATAATTTGCTGATAAATGGCCCTCTGCTATCACTATGTCACATAATCATGTAGATCGGCCAATAGTTGTTGATAAAAGTAAAGTTACTCTGATAACTAATCTTCACAGCTGGCATTTTCTTTTTGGTTTTCTTTAAATTGGATTAATTTACAATTTCCTGTTTCCCAATCATGGATTTCTTTGTGTTTCTTTGCGTTTTCAGTTTTCACATCTGTAATGGGACACATGCTAATTTCAAAACAGGGATCAAACTACTAGAATCCCTCAGTAACAAAGCTGATGTGGTTTATACTTAAACTTCTTTACAGCTTTTTTTAATCTCTAACAGTCAATGAGTAAGATCTAAAGTGAAGGCCATTGGTTACACAGCCTTGCTGATACAAGGAGAGGAGATAAATACAGCTCCCGTGTTCAGAAATGAAAAATAGCCATCACTGTGTAAAGATCTTTATGGTGTTATAACATGTCGTACTTACACAAGCAATAAATGCTACCGTGCCTATACCCCTGAACTACCGCTTAAGGTTAATGATGGTATTTCAGCAGAGATGTAAGGCTTTTTGTGGTCAAGACAACTTTAGAAAACCTTGACTCAGATGTCTACATTGACAGTGGTAAAATACACTTTTTTGACAGACTATCATAACAGGACTATCGGAATAAAAGGTTTAAATATTCATGTAATTTAAATGTCTCTTTTTTAAATTAAGGCACAGCAGTGGTCTTACTTTAACTATCTTAGAGGTTATTAAACTAAACCAAAAACCAATACAATCCCAAATAAAATTACCACCCCAAAAAATAAAATATAATCACTGAAATACTTTAACTAGTTTTCAAACTAGTTCAACTTTACTAATAAGCTACAATAAAGGAGCAATAATGGTATGTTAATTTGAAGTGTCACATTTGGTAGATTATGCATTAACAAGATGACTTACCACAAGCAGAACACTATCTGCCTTTATCTCCCAGTGCAGAAGAATTGATAAGCATTTCCAGAATTACCTGTTTGCTAAACTTCTACTCAGAAGACCGATGTCCCTTCTGGTGCTCATATGTCTTTTACTGCCTCACCTGTTTATCGACCAATTTTAGCCCCAGTGTTAGTATTTTTACTCAGCAATAAATCAACAGCAAACCTTTCAGTCGCCTGCCTTCTGTGACTACTTTACAGAGGGATGGCTACTAAAATGAGGGGTTTTGTAACAGAGTAAAAGTGGTGACAAACAGAGGAAAGCAGACCCAATGAAATAGTTGATGATGCTCCAGATCTGCTGGGTTACCGTTGCTGTGGAGCACAGTCTGGAAAACACTAATTTAGAGTGTTTGTGAAAGCTTCTATGCATTACTATTCACTCTATGCTATTCATACTAACAAAAACCAAAAAAATATTATGCAACTCTGTATCAGTCAGTTCAGTTATGAGAATTTATTTCACCAAATATTGACATGTAAATTTAAAAAAAAGGGGGGGGGGGATGTTCAGCCGGCTTTCCCCTGAAACTTTCACTTTAATAAAGAGTGAACCAATAGAAACGCTCAATTTGGAAGCCAGGAAGAAAGTTGAAAGCATGCAGAATTACTTTAGTACAGCAGATTTCCCTTACTACAGTGGTTAGCCAGGTTCCGTTTCCTAAAAAAAAGTTAGAACTGAACACTTCACTTGACTCCATTTCTGATTAATTTTTACTATATGAGCTTTTTCTTCTCTAAACTTTAATTGAGTCTCTTACTAGTAGACTAGAGACCTGGCATGTTTCTTCATGTAAAACTAGACCTCAAAATGGGCCTTCCAACATGACAGCTAGCTTTTCCAGAAATAACACCAAACTTGTTAGGTTACCTCCAATCCAAGCTCAGTCACGTGGACGGTGGCTCTGTAAGCAGCGTGCACGCTCAACCCTGATCCTCATTGTTTCCATATCAAGTAACTCTTCGCTATCAACGAAGGCCCACACTGTCGAATGTGTATTTAGCTAACTAGCTAGCGGACAGACCGCAAAGTCTAAGCACACCACCTGTGCAAAACAGTTAGCATACTAGAAGCTAAACGAGCAGCACGAAAACGTTACACCGCTCCAGAAACACTTATAAGCGCCAAGTGATCGCATGCAAAATATTCCACTAGACCGTTATTATGCTTTCTGACTACCCCGAGAAAACCAATAACTTACTGGTAGTTATAAAAATAAGATATGGCAGCAGGCCTGTGGCAGCACTGAGCAGGTGGGCCATGCATACACGCAGCAGTTTTCGGTCACTTTTCTCTAAGAAATATTACATGACATTTGTGGAATATAACTTCGAAGTATCACGAACATTTGTTTGAGCAAGTTTTTGTGTCGTTTAATTAAAAGCGGTTGTCATCGCCCCAAGAACTCCGACGGAAAGTATTGCTGGTTCATTTGAATGGAAGGACCTGGGGCCTGTTAGCTCACGTTACCATGCTGGTGGTATTCCAATGAGGCTTAGGGGGGGCATTAGCAAGCACTTTTTAGTACTTCAGCAGTTCAATGACACGACAGGCCAAATGTTTAAAATAACAACACACAACTGACCAAAATGTAATTATTGTGTGGCGTTAGCTTTGGTCAAAATGGTGCAGAATCAAAGAGCGAACTGAAGTCCAAAAATAAGAGACTGCACGAGTTGTTTTGGAGGCTAATGATAGCCAGCTAGCTAGCTAGCTACCTGGTTGCTGTAAGAAGCCATGCTCCCGGTGAGGTTTTCTGTCCTCCGCTGACCAGATGAAGAATCCCCCGGAAAGGTGTTGTAGGTTTCTACTGACAGCTACAAAAGGTGGTCTATTTCGACGTCATTGTCATTTGCCCAACGGTGTCCTGCCAGTCGAAAGTTTTGATCTATGTAATGCATCAGCACTTCATGCTGTTCGCCTTGCCGTCACCGCCATTTCTGTCTAGCATCTTCCTTGCTTGCTAGCCAGAGCAGCGCGCGGTCGGTTGTAACGGCAGCGTGAGCTCAGGGAGTAACGCCAAATACTTCCGGTGAGTGCTGATTCTAAGATTTCATAATAAAAAGGCTCCATTAATACTTTTAGTACTAATACTACTACTTACAATGATAACAATATTAATATTAACAATACTCGAAAATGTAATAGAAATAAATTACGGGGTGCAGATGATTGCCTTTATATTTACAAAGTTTCAGCATTTAGACAGTAAATGAACCGAAAGAACAAAACCCAGTGTGGATAGTAACCAAAATTAAACTCAACTGAAAAATAAATAAACACTAAATAAAATATAATAGAATATAAAATTGCACTCCAAGATCCTGCAAAGGTTTCAAGGTATTGTGAAAAAAATCACATTCAGTGTAGCTTCAGTTTGTAAGTGATATTATGATTGCTGATGGTTTACGCTCACTGATAGGTTATCTTGCTTGTGTTCATCACAGCTATATCATATCATATCATATCATATCATATCATATCTTAATGACCGCATAGTACCATATTATCACACCACCCTCTAAGACTACAGGATTATTTGTGGTTTCTAGAGGTTCTAGAGAGTCTCTGCAGTTTTAATATTAGACTCAAAACATTTGTTTCGACAAAGCTTATAGATGATAAGGAAAAGGCCTGGATAAGATGACTCTGATCCATCACTTATTCATGCTGCAATATGCTCAGACTGAAGTAAAACTTCAAGTAATACACTGTGGTGTACTGAGGACTTCTTCTCCAATCACTTCTTCCCTCCTCTAGTCTGTGTTTTTTCTTGTCTCTCTATGCTCTCTTTTCTTTTATCTTTCTTCCTTTATCTTTTCAATCCCCCACTACTGGTCATGGTGGATGGTTGAACCTCACTGAGCCTGGTTCTGCTGGAGGTTTCTTTCAGTTAAAAAGGAGTTTTTCTTTCCTACCATCGCAAAGTGCTTGTTCGTATTAGGTTGTTCAATTGTTGGGGTTTATTTCTAGAATACTGTAAGGTCTTTACGTTACAGTACAAACTGCTTTGAAACAACTATCATATTGAATTGGTGCTAAATAAATAAACCTAAATTCCATTTAACAGCACTAAATATTCAGCTTTTAATTACATGAAAATTCTCCAATTGTCTCGTGGTCATGTCTTAAAGAAATGCACGGAAGAATATGTTGCCTATAATTACAGATTGCAGAGCAAGTTAAGAACTCGAGGCATTTATTCTGAAATCTGTGAATGCCTCGGCGGAAATGCTAAAAATAATGTTATGAACTTACAAGTATGAACGCATGCGCGGTGTGTGTTCTCACTTCAGGTTGGACGTGAATCGCATTTTTTTTTCTTTTTCTTTTTGAAAGTTAAATAAAAATAAACGTTTTATTTTAAGCACATTTTTGTTGTTTTTTATGAACCTTGGTGATTTAAGCTGCATAAATACAGTCAAAACAGTGAAATAAACAGCAGCAACTACATGCAATCAACCCCATGTGCCTTTTAAATGAGTAATGCCTTCGACAGTGCAGGACAATACAGGTGAGGGAAGAAGGTAATCTCAAACAGGAAGCCGTGACAGGTGAATGATCTTCTGGCCATAACAGAAAACAAGACCGTACAAAGAACAGTATCTGAAGGTATGAAACACGGGCATTATATATTTGTATCATTCACAAACGCGCAACTAATTAAGCTAACGTGAATTTGCAACAGGGACGAACTTTACAACAGGGAGGACGTTGCGAATGAGCAACTTGGAAGAACGCTCTGTTTTCTCAAGTTGAGATAAGATATCATGAAACGGATAAAAATCATAATTCACAGACGTTTACAGTGCCTCAAGTTATCACCAGCTTTTGATAAGCTGCTTCATTAATGAAGAAACTTCTACCTCATCGAGACATTTTTTTAAGTTATCCCCCATGCTGCTTTATTGCTTGCAGTGCGTCGTGGATAAAAGCCAACTACCCACTTTGTTTATGACAGGCTGTAAAATAAACAAGATACAGGTCTATAATTTTATTATGTTGGCACAGGAAGATGCCAGAGAGGGGAAGACGCGATCAGAGTGGTGACGGCAAAAGCGGGGATAAGCGCTACACGCACAATCGAGACTACTCTGGGTATGACGCCGAGGAGAGGGGCACTGCAGGTGACAGGAGGGCCGGAGAAAACAGACAGAGGGATATGACAACTGCCTCTCACAGACATGAAGGAACCTCAAGACGGTAAATGTAGTTCTAAACATGGTCTGCATTCACTAAACCTTCATACAGCCCGAAGATCATATTTAACTCTGCAGTGTTTTGACCTAAAATTACATAAACCTGTAGCAAAATAAATTATTTAAAAACATTTTACTTTCCTTACAGGCCCAGAGAGACTTCAGGGGATCTCTCTGAGATGGAGTATTACGAACCACAACCGAAGCCAGCGCTTTACAATTTCAGATACATATTAACCAGCAGAGGCAAGTATATTTGGTTTTAATTTCTTCTGTGAAACATTACATGCAAGCTACAATTTTTTTTGAAATATCCCTAAAATGCATTCAGGGATGTAAATTATATGATAACGAGAGGATAGTGCAAAAATTTGAAAATATAGCACAATAGTAAATTATTTTTAAATGCTGCATTGGAACAGTTAGTATTTATTTATTTATTCTGTTGTTTAATGTAATGTGAAAATAAGTTTCTTTAAACAATTATTTTAAGGCAAAAGTCAAAATCCCCAATTTAAAAATATATTTTTCTTAAAAAGCCATAAATCTTTGTCTCCAGGTATCTGCCAGCTTGCAGAGGTGTTTGTGAACCTGCTTATCATAATCTGTGCCGGGGTGCCTTACAGCAACAATGGGGGTTACCGTGACCTGGCCAGCCTCGGTGGATTATACACTTATTACTACGGTGGTGCCAGTGCCTTCACTGGAGTCGATGCAAAGAGAGTGCAGGAGCTAGACCGGCTCTTCCATGAGCTTAAGCGGCCTCCGTACATCTTCACCATGGCGGCTGGTGGAATTTTAATGATCTACGCTTTTGCCATGCTGGGCCTGGGGATTTTCAGAGTCCCTTTCCGGTGTCCTCCTGTGCTGCTGGTTGAGGCTGTGCTGAGTTTCCTGATCGGTCTGGGGTACATCCCAGGAATTGCCATCTATTTTATCAAGCTGAAGGAAACCTATGACAACCCCATCTGTAAGGAGAGGGAGCAGATGTACAAGAGCAAAGGGCACCAAGGGTTTGATTGCAAGTATAATGGTACAGACATTGCAGAGGGACTGTTTGGGGTCTTGGGGGTGGTTGTTTTCATCTTTGGTGCAGTGTTAGCTATCAGAGCTTTCAGGTCAGTGCGGGAGCTGAAAAAGCAAAGAACAAACCAGGATGATAATTTTTAAGCTGCCTTTCCTTTTTTATTCACAAGTGAACAAAAGTAGGAGTGAGAAAAAAATCACTTTGACAGGATTTTTTTTCTTGTCACTCTCATTAGGTGTTACTTGTATACAAGCTGTTTTATACATTTTTATGCCTTGATAGTGTTTTATACACACCTAATCTTTTTTTTCTTTATACCTGTTTACCACATCTTTCATATTTTCTATGATGTTGTAGTTATATTAAACTACCAAAATAGTATAATATTACATGGTCATCTGTCATTGCATTTATCTGTGAAAGAGATGGCTGAAACAGGCTGAACTGACTTCCTGAAAACAAATGTCTTTGACATTTTAAAAGGAAATGGAGTTGAGTGTCACATGGTTTCTTGTTATAGTTTTAAAGCTTTTCTGATGGCTTTGTTTTTTTCCCCCCTTTTCTTTTAACTTAATGTGTTGATTTAAAACACACACACACATAAGTCTGAGAAAGACACACACTCTGTTCTTCTTATAGCACTCACAAGAGATATAGTTATTTTTAATTAAAATTTATTCTCAGAATTTGTCAACCACTTTACCTGAGCTTAGGATAACTCATAACTCTGAGCTTCACCAACAGATGGGATCTACTGTGATTAGGAATTTACAAAGTTAAAACATTACATATAATTCCACAGCAGCGGTCACTGTTTCTTCTCATTTATTTTCTTGATCTGAGTATTGAACAGGACAACACATCAGCGATAACCGCATAACCTGCCCTTTTGGGCATGGATTAAGGGGTGAGATTACATATAAAAAATGCAAGGATGCTAATAATTCTAAGAATGTAAGAAATTTTAAAGTGATTTTGTTTTTTATTGGGTTGAAATAAACACCCTGAACTGGATACGTGGAAGACGATGGATGGATGGGTTGATATAACCATTAATAATGATAAGTAAAGTTGACACTGGACAAAAACAAAAAAATTCACAGTAAAAAGTTTTATTGCTACTTGGCTTAAAGTTAAAAACAAAACAAAAACCAGCCTGTCTGCTGAAAACTAATGATAGCAGCATTTAAAATAAAATAACCACCTTCCACTCTCAGTGTTCAAGAATATACAATTCTTTCTGACAAACCACAAAAGTGCCCATTGTTAGTTCTTTTCCTAAATAATTAATCTTCTTAATGATTCTTAAAAAAAAACTAAATTTGTAGCAGTAATCTGCATGCTCGAATAAAAACCTAAAAATATCGGATATGCTCCCTTTTGTACAAATAAATCACATTTTGTATGTATTCTATGTTTTTTTCCCTGTAGCCTTATATTTAGAGCATGCTTTCAACAATAAATACAGTTATAGTACCATCAATAGTACCATAATGGGTGACAGATTTCTTTATAAGCCCAATGACTTTAAATTCTGTAGCAAAAAAGGGAAATATTAATTTGCATGAAAAAAAAAGTACAAAAATAAACATCACTTTCTTGGCATTCAGGAAAAGAAATATTCAAGCATTTCTTGAAAACAATATGCATAAAGGAATAGTGAGATTAAACAATGGCTACTTTGGTCACATTTTAAACAAATGGAGCATCTCTGATCGGTTTCATTCACCATATTCACACAGAATTACAGTCGATCCATTGTTTCACACAGACATGCATACACTTACAGCACGTGTGCGCTAAAGCTTTTATCTACACACAAACACAGACATTTTGCAACACAGATGCACAGGGAGCTTGTTATGATGTGCAAAGAGAAATTATACCGAATAGTTAACAAAAGAAGAAGGTTAAAATAAAAACACTGAAATTGCAGCCTAACAAATGCACTTACCCTCTACTTTGTGTACAAATGCATTTAACTGCATGAGTATTGAGCTCGCGAGCCCCTTCCACTAAAGAATTAAAGGGAATATTTTAAGCCAATGCAATGTACCCCTCCATCTTCCCTCTGTGCATACAATCTGCTTATGTACATGCACACTGATTACCGATGGATCATTATCCAAATGTACTTCTATTTTGTGAGTATATTATACCGGACAGAGGGTGAATACATGGTATCAACCAAAAGACAGACTGAACGCATGAATGTACAACAACGGTACAAATGTTATAAAGCAAAAGGAGCCAGTTAGTTTAAAGAGCACTAAATATAGCAATGCAGTACAGTCCCAGCCTGACATGGCAGCTGGGGGCAAACTCATAAAACCACACTGCCAAAGTGCCAAAGGGACATAAAAAAAAAAGCAACACAATGCAAATTACAAACACAACCTCCACAAACATTATACACACACACCAGCCAATATTCATTATCAGACATATTGAAACATGAGTCGTATAGTTAAAGGTGATGGGAAATTGACGCTCTGATATACAGGTATATATGTACACTTTGCATATTTTACAAGGGATTTTACCACTGTGGGATATGAAACCTTATAGAAAGTTCAGTTTCTCCTCTCCAGACTTCATTAACATTTCAGATATGTATCAATAACATTCACAATCATAGGCTAGCTTAGCTCTCCACGTGGCATTTACACCTGCAGTGCCCGTCAGTGTTCCACTGCCAGTAATCCAGATGTGTGGCACTATGTGTGGGCTCCAATTGTGGAGGTCTAGGCACAGACAGAACCACAGAGTCCAATGTGTTTGGCATGTCAGACCCAGCAAGGACTGATCAATAAAGTGACAGGAATAAAATGATTATCTTTATCACAAAACTGGATTTGCTATTTGTAATTTTAGATATTTTAAAAAAAGCATTTGGGAGTTAAAATTAGTTCTTGAATTCTGAAAAAGCAGAATACGGACAGTACCGATGCATCTAAATATGATCTCAGACTCCTACATGTGGATAATAACTGTATGTCCTGATTTTCATTAACTTATATTTACACATAGTAAAAGCAATGCAGGAAGATAGTGTTAGTTTATGTAGTTTTGTGGTGTTAATTTAAAATATTTAAATATAAGTTAAGATACTAACAAAACTCTAAGTGGTGACAAACAAAAAGACTTTGAATGAAAAAAATATCTTTGTGATGTTAATAAGACTTAAAAATATTGTAAATTAAGTATATTGTCAGTGTCGTCATAGACAAAAGATGATGCACTTGGCTGAGGGAAGCCACAATAATCTCAGAACACTATGCTAAAAAAATTATATAATAAAATTAAATATACATAACTCTGGATATTATATTATATTCTATGTACAAGGTGCTTTTGACAGTGTATATTCTTTTCAGGAGATAAAACAAGGAGGAATTCATACCCACACAGCATTTAAGGCATCATCACTGACTTCTCACTCGTTCACATGGAGCCAAAGACCTCATTCACAGACAGAACATCAACGGAAAGAAACAAAAAGCTCCTCGCTTCAAAATACTGAGTAGTGTTACATTAAGGCTAAAAGAGAACACTGAAAGGTCTGAATGTACAACGGCTGTGTAGTTCCTTCCAACATGTAGTGGACACCAGAAAAAATAAAAATCTATTGTAGTAATCACTGACAAGAGCAATTACCCAACTTTGGCCTTCTCTTAGCCACAGCAGCTCTGCAGAGTTGCTTCCTCTTTTGGCACAATGCGGGGAGGTTCAGGACTGGACAATGTGAGGTTTCCAAGGCTGCAGAACATATAACTGACAGTTTAAACAATAATGTATTTTTTCTGTCATATAGGACAATAGAGTTGACTATATATTTAAAAAACATGAATAATGTGCACTGCTGAAGCATTGAGTTAGACCCCCTTTTGCATTCAGAACTGCCTTAATTCTTCATAGCATAGACTCAGCAAGGTGCTTGAAACATTCCTCAGAGATCTTGCTCCACGTTAGCATGATAGCATCATACAGTAGCTGCAGATTTGTCAAGCGCACATGATGTGAACCTCCTGTTCACCACATCCCAAAGCTGCTCCATTAGATTGAGATCTGGTGACTGTGGAGGCCATTTGAGTAAAGTAACTCATTGACATGTTCAAGAAACCAGTTTGAAGGAATTGACGTTATCTTTCTGAAAGCAGCCATCAGAAGATTTGTACAATGTGCTCATAAAGGGTTGGACATGGTCAGCAACAAGACTCAGGTAGACTGTGGTGTTTAAACAAATCTCCATGGGTATTAACTATGAAGAAATAATACCTCCCACACCCTTACACCACCAGCAGTAGACTTAACTGTTTATGCGAGGTAGGATGAACCCATCCTTTCATGCCATTTACATCAAATTCTGACACTCCCACTTGAATGTTGCCACAGAAATCAAGACTCATCAAACAAGGCAACGTTTTCCCTTCTTTTGTTGTGCATGTTTGGGGAGCTAACACAACTTGTTCTTAGCTCACAGTAATGTCACCCAAGGTGGATCTTCTTAAAGGTTCAATGTGTCATGCAGTCAGAGGTGCTCTTCTGCATATGTTGGTTGTAATCTGTGGTTATTTGGGGTACTGCTGTTTACCTATAAGCTCAAAGAAGTCTGCCCATTCTCGCCTAACCTCTGATATCAACAGAGAACTGCCACTCACTGGATTTTTTCTCTTTTTCAGACCATTCTCTATAAACTTTAAAGGTGGCTGTCTGGGAAAATCTCAAATCAGCAGTTTCTGGAATATTCGTACCATCCCGTCTGGCACCAACAGCAACACTGCATTTAAAGTCACTGAAATGACCTTTCTTCCCCGATTCTGATGCTCGCTTTAAACTTAAGCAGGTCGTCTTGATGAGGTCTACACATCTAAATGCTTTGAGTTGCTGCCATGTGATTGGCTAGTTAGATATTTTTGTTAATGAACAGCTGAATAGGTGTACCTAACAAAGTGTCCAGTGGTTGTACTTATTCTTAATGGAAGGGACTGAAATAGTGCGTTCTTATTTGGGCACCTTTTACTGCTGCGACACTCATAATATTTGTACATTAACTGTAGCTAAAGTAGCCATATGATTACGAAGGCGTGTGGACATAAATGTGCCCAAGTAAAAAGCTACATCAAGCTCTTCCTTTTGTGATATGTCATCAATACACAGGCAGCAAATCTCAATGTTTTTATGTTTTTAGTAAAACATACAGGTGCTGTAACTTGTTCCTTCACCAAGTCAATTTATTCTACCGAGAAAGCTAATTAAATGATATGCCAATGCTTTTAATGTAGTTTTTCAGATAACACAGTGATAAGGCAGTCCTTCCTGCATTTTGTTTTTGTCAGTTGCACACATATCTATGATGTATAATAGATGACTGAAAAAAATGTAAGAGAATAGGGTTTCAGTTCTGTTAAGGGTCTAAACACCACACGCCAAACCTCACCTGGATGTATGTGTAGTGCATTATAGAGGTAAGATTTAAAACATTTTGCAAATTAAAAACGTCAATAATGAAATCTGCCTCAAGGGACAGGATGGACTGATGGTGTCAAATTTTAAAAAGCAGAAGCAGCCTCCAAAATTCAGATATACTAAAATGTAAGTACCAGAGGGGATATTTTCACACATGCAGTACAAATCCTGATTTTATATCTCTTGGCCTTACAATATGTAATACTTCAGTTTTGTGTCTTAGCTCATTTGTCCAGTCCACTATCCAGTGACCATAAAACTGACTAAATTCAAATGAATCTTTTATCTTCCTATGAATGTTTTAAGGAGCTCATTCTATAATGCACTGTCACAGAATATACTGCAGTAACAGTTGTTAACCTCTACTAATTGCCTCTTGCTTTACAACTAAATGACTTTGATATTGCATTGCTCTACATAGAAAAAATATTCAGTCTTAATGTCAGCAGTGTAAGCACATCACATCGGCCACCCGCTAAATGTGAGTTTGTACTTTACTATGTAGGAGTGACAGACAATTCTTTATATATGGTGTGGAAATGCTAACGATAAAAAACAGACACAATGAAAATGCAGTTGTGTTGTTTTCAGATCTGTGTGTATTATAAGCATTTAGACTCTCTGATTTCCTTCG